GGCTCTTGGGGAGGGGGTGGGTCTATGCAGGGCGGGGGGGCATTCACATCAATTCATTCTGGTCTGGATGATGGTCTGAATCATGGCACATGGAACACCCTCATCCATGTAGTCTGGAGGCCCCACGGAATGGACATGGAGGAATTGTCACCCTGTGAAGCTCAGGGTGGGAGCCCAGTACCTCCCTAGTTGTGGTGGCTGTTGTACGCCCACTCCGTTTCAGCTCTTCTGAGCCAAGGAGGTGAGCAGGGGAACTGTGAATGGGTCAGGAGGCCTCATGCAGGTTTTTGTAAGCAGTGATCTAGTTTCATTAAAAAAAGAAACAATAAATGTCCTCACCTGCTTGTGTCTGTGCCAGAGACACCTTGATCTGGGAGGGTCCCAGGAAGGGAACATAGGATGGGACACTGGCTACCAGGAAGCCCAGTGCCTTCCCCTCCACCTGCAGCAGAAGTTAAACATCTAGAGTCTAGTCCTCAGCAGTCTCCCAGGTCCTTGCAGGCCTTGATCTTGTTTCCAGCATCTCCAGTCACCAGCACTGTGTGTGTTTTCTAGCTTTGCTTCTCCCACAAGCCTGGGAGGTAGCCTAGCCTGCTGTGAATTGCTGTGAGCAGATCAGTAGGATTGTTTAGTTGCAGGTGATACAAACCTATTCCTAGCTTGGCTTGGTCAAAAAGGGGAGTGGGGGTGGGGGGACGGTCTGGAACTATAGGTTATCCATTCAGAGCCGTTTTTGCCCTTGCAGAGGACCAGAGTTTGGTTCCCAGCACCTGTATATTGGGTGGCCCACATCACCTGGAACTCCAGCTCCAGGGCAATTGACACCTTCTGGTCTCTCTGGGTTCATGATTTTATAAAAACAATATAAGCCAGTTTGCTTTATTTTTTGCACTGATGAGCCTTTACCTGTGCATACAGTGATAGTGGAAGGAGCCTGCTCTCTGTATAGCTTGCTGCTCTGAGGCAGCAGTGGCCTGGCAGGGTCAGTAGATATCTTGTGCATGAAGCTCCTTGGTGCTTTGCCTGAGTTCCAATGGTGACTGCTCAAGACTAGGGCTGAGTCAGTTGGGAAGTTTCCTCACAGGTTCTAGCATTAGCCACTTGCTTTGGACTGACGTGAAGCTGTGGTTCCTCGTAGGATTGCACTAGTTTAACATACCCACAGCCAGTTTTAGTTCTGATTTCAAAAGTATCATTTTAAAATTGTGTCTTCTTGACCCCTGAGGAACAGATCCTCAAACGACCTTAAGAGTAAAAATAAATCAGTTTATCTGGACCAACTGTATGGCTTTAAACACCCAAAAGGAAAGTATAACCAAAGATTAAAGGGGCCAATATAGTTTCTTAAGAGTCCATATGTATAGCTAAAAGCTACATAACAAGCAACAATGCCAGACAGGCGATACCTTCTTTTGAGTTGTTGGCCAGTGTGGCCATAGGGATTCCCAGCATAGAACTGGGAAAAGGAACAGCAGACCCCAATCTTATCCAAAGGAACATTGACGATTGCTGCTAGATGAGGAACAGCTGACCCTCCTAAAACAAAGACCTCTAGATAGGCTGACTAGATTCACCAGAAGGGCAAGTAGTGGGGAATGGGTGTGGGTGCTGACAATACAGCAGACAGTAGCAGGGATATCAGAGTATAAGGGCTCTAGTGTGAGGACGGAGGCTATGGAAGGGTGCCATCTGGGAAGTGGGTGTAAAAAAAAAAAAATTTTTTTTTAAATATAATTCTTCAAAAAATAAAATTGTCTTCTTACATTTCTCCAAACAAAATGAATGGGACAACCGAGTAAAAGGTGGGAGGATAACCGAGTTTGCAGGTGGTGGAGCAGTGGCCACTGGAGGGAGAGCTGAGGGTGTCACCTAGGGACATTCTGGGCCTATGCTGCTCCCCAGGGCTGGACAACACAAAAGCCTGGAATGGTTTGTGTTAGATGTTACTGTGCATTCTTAGGGTCTGCCTGAGGAGATTTGAAGGACAGAGGATTTGCACTTTGGGTTGGTGGGCATTGTGATCACCCTGAAGTCATGTGAAGCCTGTGCTGTATGTGTAGAGGGGAGCTCAGCCTGGTGTTTGTCCCACCTGTGCTCCCAGCCAGGTCCAAACCATTGCCCTACAAGATGGGGTGTGTGGTCTCCAGGAGCCTGAGATTTAGGTTGTTAGCTTCTGAAGTTCACTGTCTCACAGCCCTCTGTCCTTTGACATCACCAGAAATGCTGTGTGCTGGACACCTTTTTGCACCACCTTCCCCCCCATGGCAGGGTTGTCATGTATGCTAGGTAAACATGCCCTCTGAGCTATGTGGAGCCCAGGCTGAAGATGCTCCACCCCCTGCCATAGCCTCCCAAGTGCTGGGAATACAGACCTGTACTACATGCCTGGCCAAAGCAAGGCTCTTACAACGGCCTGTGCCACAGCCTAAGCTGCTCTTTGTGGCATACATCCTTGGGGCTTTGGGGCATAGGGTGGAGGGGAGGAGCATAGTCTGGACTTGTGCTCCTGGCTTGCCATCCGGGCTGGTACTTTAGCTGTAGGACCTTGGACAGATCCTCTATCCATTTCTTCATAATAGGTGGCTGTTTCACTTAGGGACACTGAGGATTGCATAAATGTCCTCAATAAAGGGCCTAGACATAATACTGCTATTTTAAATACCTGCTGCTACTACTGCACTACTTCTCCTTGAGGTCCTCCCTGCCACTTGAGTGACCCTCCTCAGAGCCCCATGGTTCATGCCTCCAGTGGATCTCTTAATCTTTGTGCATCTATTTTAGATCGTCATCTACAGGACAGGGCCATGTGTTCACAGATGGAACTTTGGGGCTCAGTCCCAAAGCCTATGCTGTGTCTGGCTTCCTTGGTTTATAAAAGCTGGAGGTGGGGTGGAGGGATTTGACAGATATAGCTGTTACAGCCAGAATAAGGTAAAGAGCTGGGGCCTAGGCCATGTGTCTCCAGACCTTGAATCCAGCTGCCAAGGAAGTTATCTTTGGCAAAGTCTTTGAACTCTTTCCCCGGGGAGATGTATAAGTCTGCCCCCACCTTACAGAGTATCAAGGTCTTCCAGAGCATGGGTGAGGGGTTATTTATAGGAGTGTGGTGACCCCAGGGCAGGTGCAGCACCTGAAAATCTCACCCCAGCATGGATGATGGCTTCCCATAGCTGTAGAGACAGAGGCCCCACTTCCATTAGCTTTCCACAGTCTATATACCTCATAACCCCCAAGACATCAAGGCCCTGTGCAGTTAGGGCAGGATTACATACAAATGTTCTCGAGGTGTGTGGCTGGAATCTCAGGTGAGGTCTACTGACCCTCCTACCCACTCCTTGTTCCAGGGAACTTCAGCAGTCAATAGGCAGATCCTGGGGGGTCTCTTGCAGTAGTCACAGCTGCTCTGATGAAAACGGCTATTGTGCAGGGAGGGTGGTGCTCTGTAACAACAGCGAGCAGCTCTTCAGTTGGAACCTGATGGATCCTAAAGGGCTCCAGCTTCCTGGATCCATGTTAGTGATGCATGCTCATCCTAGTACTTAGGGAGTAGGAGCATCACTGGGCCTGGTGTCCAAAGGGAACACGTTTGCTGGTGGATCAATGCTTAGTGTGTCCTATGAGCTTTTGAGTCTCTGTTCAAAGACATGCCCCCCTGCTGTTGAACTGACAGGGCATCTGTCATTGCCTGGAGTGCGAACCAAGGAGGTCACCTGAGAGCCTTGTAATTCACAGGAATCTCCCCAGTAGCTCTATGGCTGGGCTTCTCTACCATGGCATGCCCCTGGCCAGCAGGTGGTGCTAGCCCCATTTTGCATCATATAGGCTCAGCTCAGAGAAGCATCTTGGCCAAGGTCATGGAGCTGGGATTTTCAGCTTTCTGGCTTCAAGGACAAAGCTGCTCACCTCAGCTGAGTCAAGAATGGGCAGTTGATGACCCCCCTCCACAGGTCTCTGGGAGGTTAGAGGCATAGTTCCTATGGACTCCAGAGTCAGAAGGCCAGGTTTAATCTCAGCCCTGTCACTTTCTGTGATGGGTTTTCATTGTGTCAGTTTCTGTATGAGTGCAGTGCCTACTTGACAGGGCTGTTGAGGCCTAAGTGAACGCATATGAGCAGTGAGCATAGGCAGGCCCTCCACTAATAGTGGCTACTTTGTCCCTGCTTTGTGCTGGCTGCCATCGACATGGTGAGGGATGGTAGTGGCCCTTAATGCTTGACACCTGTGTTGTAAAGGTTTGCCCTGACTTCTCCTTTCCGAAACCTTCCAGTGCTCTGTGAACACCGCAGTGGAACCCAGGCAAAACAGCCAGGAGTGTAACTTTAAGGGTTCTCCAAGATTACCCCATCGTACCCCAGGAGTGCATGCAGCTGCCCTCTGTGGTCTATTCTCCCTTGCTCTGAGGACCGACCACTCTGCAGTCTCCATTTAGATTTTCTTGCCTTCGCAGGCCCTGGGCTTCATTTTCAGTTCCTCCACTCACCCAGGCAGAATGACACAGGATTCTATAGATGTTCTCCAAGTTCTGGGCTTTTATTTTTATCCTAGCTGCATGACTCCCCACCCCACCCCACCCTCTTTTCCCCCTCACATGAGTTAAACACTATTCTAAAAGTGCATATTAAAGTTGTTTACTTCCAAAAATGGATCTGGTATTTTCCACTACTGGAATGGAAGACACCTTTTACATCAAATCCTTTTACAGGAATGCCTGAATGGGAGCCACACATTAAATTCCATTATTTTTGTGTATGTGTGTGTATTCATGCCATAGCACCTGCATGGAGGTCAGAGAACAACTTGCAGGAGTTGGTTCCCTCCTTTCACCATGTGGGTTCCAGGGATCAAACTTGGGGGTCATCAGGCTTTACACACTGGCTCAGCAGTTAAGAGTGCTGGTTGCTCTTGCAGAAGACCTGGGTTTGAGTGGTTCCCAGCACCCACATGGTGGCTAACAACCACTCCAGTTCCAGGGGATCCAGTGCCCTCTTCTGACCTTCATGGGCATGCACATGGTGTACTTACATGCAAGCAAAACACTCATACACATAAAATAAATTTTTTAAAAGGATGCAGTAAACATGGGCCATGTGAGGCTGTAGCTGGCATAACCAGTGTCCAGTTTTATAGTCAATTTTTGTAAGCAGGAGCACTTACCAAATAATGGTAAGTGCTGGTAAGGTGGCTTAGCAGGTAAAAAGACTTGCCATACAAGCTAGACGACCCGAGTTTAGTCCCCAGAACCCATGTAAAGATGGAAGGAGAGAACTGATTTCACAGAGTTGTCTTCTGACCTCCATGTTTACCCACATACATTAGACAATGATAAAGTTAAAAAACCCAAACAATGGCAAAAAGCATAGTATAGGAAATATGTATGCCAGTAACAGTCCTTTGTTGTTATGTGTGCTGTGGGTGCCCCACTTGGGGCACATAGGACTGTGTGTCCTTGGACATGCCTCAGCATGGGTTTGTGCACACCAGCATCACTGTATACGTGACATTGCATCACACTGCATTACAGTGGCTGTGGCATGAAAAGCAATGGGCATTTCTCACCTCTGTTATAATTTTACAAGGCCACTGTTGTATAGGTGACAAGTCAATGACTGAAATGTCGTGGAATACAGGATTTGACATAGAGGTCACAATTCCAAAAGAACAGAGCTGACTAAGGAACAGTTTCTCATGTGGCTCACTCCTGTAATCCCAGCACTTGAGAGGCTGAGGTAGGAGAATCACTGTTTGAAGACAGTCTGGGCTTTAGTGAGACCCTGTTTTCCCTGTCCCCCAAAAAACCCCTCAGACAAGACATGCATCAAGGTTTATAAATAACTTCCCCATACCTGCTTTCAATAGTTTTCCAAACAATGGTTTATTGAGCCCGTTCAACATCTGGTGCCTAAGGCCTGGAGCTTCCGGGCCCAGGCCCTGCTTAGACTCACAAAGACACCAGCCCCCAACACCAGGGTGATGGCCAGCAGCGTCAGCAGCATCCAAAACATAGATCTCAGGCTGGAGTTCCTGCCGGAGCCTGTCAAGGAAGGAGTGGAGATGGTTGTGGGCTGGGCACATCTGCTGTGTGTCCACCTGAGACTGCCTGCTTGATAAGGGGCTGGACAATCTTTTCTTAGTTCCCCATTGAGTGGAGTTACACCACAGCTGCCTTCATCATGGCCAGAGCTTCCCTCCTCATGGCCAGAGCTTTCCTCTTTCGTCTGCACTCAGAGAGGGTCAAGATCCTTTGGGCACCCCCAAGCCCTGGTACCTGAGGGCCTGAGTTCCACAGAGTCCTTAAATCCTACTGCTCCTAGAGAGCTTACAATGTCCAGGGTCCTGGCTGTACTGTTGTCGTGACCTGAGGACCGACGTCGTCCTGCTCAGGAGAAAAGCCCTATCTGGTCTCCAGCTCCTGGTGGCCCAAGAGCCAGATACAGGCCTAAGGATGCGGCAAAGGAAAAATACCCCCATCAAGACTCACTTTCAATTCTAGAGCCACACACAGAGGAGCAGGTCTCAGTCCCTGATGGGTGGCAGACAGAGGCACTGCAGAAGAAGTAGACCTAGTAGAAGGGAGGATAAAAACAACACACCACGATGGGGACTGGCCTTGTGCCTCTGGGCTGGCAGACTGCGGTAGGGCTATGTTGATGTTGCTGCTGTGGGCCACCAGGTGTGAAGAGACCTGGGCATGTAGACTAAGATTGTGGCCTGCCCCATACTGCTGGGGATCCAAACTGTATTGTTCCCAATTTGGGGTCTAGGCCTTCATCTTCCTGGGGACCCCAGCCTGCAGTAGAGAACACTGTGGGCATGAACAACTTCCCAGGAGAGCCACAGCCTTCAGCCTGTTCTCTACTCTTTACCCCTGGGGACAGAGTCACTGGGAGGCAGGACCACAACTTCCATCCACCAAAGAGGAGGTGGGGCTTGGCCAGAGAGCTGGACAACAGATGTCTGCAGTTCTCTTCCTGACTCCTGTAGTGTCTAGGAGCCAAGGGGAGAACAAAGCACCACTGCTTCCAGAAACAGAGCCCAGGGAGGCAACTAAGACCGGCACAGTGGGTCCCAACCATGGGTATCCCTCTCAGCTTGGGAGGGAGTTGCACGGGCAAGATGGGCCTCAGTCATCTTCAGAGCTGCCTACCCAGTGGGACTAGCACACACCTAATTAGTTACGGGCAGTGATTTAAACATGAGATCTGTGTACGTTATGTGATTACTATATTGTGCAATCAACCATATGGTGCCATTTTTACGTTATAAAGAAAACCATAATGCTTAAACACCCTAAGTGCATCTATTTTATCTTCTGGAGAAGTTGCTGAGTTATAAATTCAAAGCAGAAGTACAAAGAACACAATATCTTTTCTAGAATCAGAAGCAAGAACACCATGACCAGTGTTCAGATTTAGGGTTCATTACAGCCACACTCAGCATTTCTCCCCCTCCCCCCAATACACTTATTTTATGTGTGTACATGTATATGTGCGTAGGCATGTGTGTCCCACAGTGAGTGTGTAGAGGTCAGAGGACAACTTGTGGGGGTTGGTTCTCTCCACATGAGGGTTCCAGGGATCAAATTCAGGTCCCTGGGCTTGGTGGAAAGCCCCTTTACCCATTTAGACATCTCACCCGCCATCCCTCTTTATCTCCCAAGTTGTTTGTGGGTCATCTCCTTGCTCTGCTGCTGTCAACACGTGGTCAAAGTCAACCCCTATGCTGAGACCCTTGCATTAGCTTGCAGGGTCCTGGAGGGATGTGCTAACCAGCTAGCTCCCACTCAGATGGGAGAGGACATAAACACAGGGTCTTCCTACCAGTCCCCTGAGGCCTCTCTGGGAGCTGGAATCAAGGAAGGTGAAGGTGGCGATGGTGAAACGTTGGTAGTGAGATGAGAAGGGCTGCTTCACCCTGTCCATAGCCACCATTTGTGTTCTGTAGTTGTCGCCCTTGAAAGTACACCTAGAAGAGAAATCAGGGCCCCCTCAGGGTTGTGCAGCAGGCAGAGGGAGCTGGGAAGGCAGCTTGGTCACCTGCTGCCACTCACCCATCTGAAAGGATGGGCCACTGGGGCTGCTGGAAGGGGTTGGCACTGGGAGTGGCCCAGCACTGATGTAGCACCAGGACCAGACTAGGGTCTGTCCTCTGCAGGAGCCGGACCTCCACATGGACTGGTTCCTGGAGCAGCCTCACAAGGGGGTAGTCATCCTCTTGATAGTAGGAACTGAAAATCTCATCTGTGAAGAGAGGAGCTCATGAACCTAGGGCAGGTTGTGCATCGGGGAAGTGGGGGCAGAAGGAGAAGCGAGGAACACTGTACCCTTGGCAATCCGCAGCTCCAGACGCAGGGGCCCAGAGTGGGTCACGGGAGCAGGTGGTGGGGGAGGGAATATAGATGCCTGGATGGGCAGGAAGTCACCAGTGTTGAAGATACAGCGGACATGAAGCCTGAAGTCCAGACCACAAAATCAGAACACCCTGTTGGACTTCGTAAACCACATCCCACAGTGGGTGTAATGGACAGTTTCCTCCAAAGGACTCAGATACTCCCATCTATCACTAGGGCCATGGGATTGTTGTTCACCCACCTGCGCCTCTCCCCACCGGGTTTGCCCAAGACAGCTTGAACTGGCTATGATAGACCCTGCTCTAGGTGCTGATACCATAGTATCAAGACAGCAGGGCTCTGTCCTTGCACTTAAGGCCTTTGGAGCCTGGTGGGAAGACTGGTATTTACATCCTGGTCTTTCCAGGTTGTAGGACCAAGAATAAGCCATTTAATTTTTAAGTTTACTACCTCAGTCCCCCTCACAGAGCTCTGGTAAGGATTGTGAAAGACCACACAATCGGGGCCTTGCTTGTCCTTACAGCTGATCTGCCAGTGTCTAGTGCCTCCCTCAGCAGCCTAAGTGCCATGTGGCTGGCCACCCATCCATGTTCTTGGGGTCTCATTCCCAGCACCCAGGAAGCCTGGCACCAATGAGGTGCTATGCAGCTGTAGTGATAGCACCCAGTTAAGGCCTTGCCCTTTGCTGCCTTGGGTCTGTTCCTGACTAGGGCTAGCAGGGCTCTGGCTGTTCCCTGTATTATTCTGGCCCTGTATTATTCTGGCCCTGGAAGTCCTGCTCCTGAGGCTGGCTGCTTCCTAGCTCTTCAGTCCAAGGGCCTAGAGCATGTCACAGACTTGTACCCCTATCTCCCAGTCCTAAGTACTGTGTGCTAAAGCAAAAGATTCTTGGACCCCTAGGCACAAATTCCCAAACCCCTACCTTTGTGTCAGATGGGGTGGGGAGAAGGGACCACCTAGACACCCACATGACCCCAAGCATGGACTTTGTTCAGCTGGTGAATGTACTAGCTCTCTCTGGTAGAGTACATAGGCTGGAGTGTGGTACCTTATCCCTGACCACATGGTAGCCAGTGCAAGTTCAAAGCCAGGTATAACAAGGGCAAGCTCCCTTGGGCTCACCCCTCCTGGCACCCGGGCAGCTGAGATGGTGGTGCCACCTGAGCCAGCAGGTCTGAGAGTTCCCTGTCTTTGGGGCTTCTTCCTCCACTACACCCTCAGATGCTTCAGATAGAGGTATCTTCCATCTCATCTGTGACATCATAACCTGAGATCAGCAGGTAGCAACAGCCACAGCCCTTCCTGGGGTCTGGAAGGGTTGCTTTCAACTGCTGCAAGCTTAGTTCTTAGAGGGATAAAAAGGCAGAGAGCTGCTATTGGCTCTGCCTGGGCCCCATATACAGACATGCACAGAGCACTTAGCCTCACATCAATCAGCCCCAAGAGGGACACGGTCCTCTGCCTTGCAGGAGAGGCTCCAAGAGATATGTTGCTCATTTAAGGTCACATAGCCAGGCAATACCGAGCCTCGATTTGCCCCAGCTGTCTCCGAAGCCTGTGCTAAGCTCTCTTGTACTCCCTCACACCCAGGCCTGCAGCATAGCTTCCCCTCACCGGAAGGTGCTGTCCCGAGTGATGGAACCCTGTGGCCCCTTTTGGATATCGATGTCAGACACCAGTTGATTCTCATATATGAGCTGCTTGCCAACCACCTAGGGAGGAAATAATGGGTGAAGCCCCCCCCCCCCAGGGGGGGACCATACTCCCGCCCCCTTCCCCCCCCTACTCTCACCAAGGTGGTACAGTGGGG